CTCTCTCTCTGTTTCTTTCCTTGAATTTGTGGATTTGTGAAGTGTTTTTAACTGACTAAACTCACAGACCTGATTACGACTCTGTCAGCCATCTCGAAGCCACATGTACGCCTAACCAAACCAGCCCAAAAATACTCTACCAAATTAGACAGCCTGCTGAAAACAAAACCAAAAAGAAAAGGAAAATACTAATTCGGATGTAAAACATACAGCAGAATTAAACCAACTAAATAATATATGCCTTTCTATTCTTTTTCATAAAAAATACATGTTAATGGTTTCCTGCATACCAGTTTCATTGTTAAACCTTTCCTCTGACCATAGGAGCTGATGCTGTGGAAGCTCAGTGTAAAAGATTTGAAGTGAGAGCCAGTGAAGATGGCAGGGTGCTGTTTTCTGCAGATGAAGATGAGATTACCATTGGGGCTGAAAAGCTGAAAGTTACAGGTACTGTAGATGAAGGTCTTGGAAAAATGTTTACTTTTTGGAAAAATATACAACTGCAAAAGATGTACTTAATAAGATCTATTGTTCCCAGGGTGTCTCACATATCATGATATTAGAACATTTGATTTTCAAATAGTCTTCATATGGAAGGAACTGGTTGTGGTTGCAGAGAAGAAGGTAAATATTAACTATCTTAACGATATAAAAGTAAAGTTGTATGCCTCGGATGGAGGTATGTGGTAAGAAAAGATGGCCAGGATATACTGAATAAAGGTTAGTAAAGGTGATGGACAAATAAAATTTGGAGGATGTTACTTAAAAGTAAAAGATATATGAAAGAAATTAAATAAAAATATCGACTTCACAATTAAATAGGAGCGAAAGGATATAGGTAAGTTAACGAAATTCTTGTTTCGTAACACTCATAATTATCCTTAAAAGAACGTAAACCAAGAAATAATGCCAAATGCCTATTTTTAAATGTAATTAAAGCTGTTATTATAATATTAGGATCATTAAAAGCAAACAAACATCAGCTGACCTTTAAAAAATATATAAACAAAAAACTGAAAGAATTGAAAGTGGGGATTGGACTGAAGAAGAATTTGATGACAATTTTGAGCACATTCTTTTGAATGACTTAATTTGCAAACATGGCACATGTTATTTTGATAATATATTTTAAAATCACTGAAAAGTACTCAAGAAGATTTTCATTTTTTTAATAAAAGGAAGGAAAAAAGTGAGATGTATTTGATGTAGTGTTTCCCAGACCTAAATTTGGGAACAGCTCATGGGATATCTATCATTTATTTAGGTCAAACTGAGTTCTGTGAACCGTGGTAGAGCAGTTAGTATGACAATGGAAGAAAAAAGACTATTCTAGAACTGCGGGAGATGAATCCTGTCTTTGCCACCCAATATATTAAATAAATATACCACTAATATTTCTTCATCTGTGTGATTAAAACGATGAGTAGTGTTCAGATTATGTGTGTGTGTGCATGTGTGTGTGCTTAGAATGTTACTGGTACATAATGAAGAAATTTTGTTAGCTTTTTATATTTATTTATAAAAATAGTGTTGCAAATGCCCCTAACACAAGGGTCTCCATTGCAAGAAAGGTGAATTAAATGGCAATGAGATTCACAACAGATTGTTGAATAGGAATCCTCGCCAGGCATCCCTTAGGCTGGGTAACATTTAAACCTCCCCACTTTTGCAGATCAAAAGGGTCCACTGTTCAATGGGTTGGAAGTCAGTATTACAAAACCAAGATTTTGAGAGGAGAAAAGGTTTTTATTGCAGGTAAACCAACAAAGAGACAGGAGTTCAACTCAAATCTGTCTACCCGTGCTGACTTTAAGACAGTATTTTTATTTTTTAAGAAAAGTTTTTAGGGGTAAATTATGGGATTATGAGTGATTGGTGGAAGGAAAAGGGAGGTCTGGAAAGTCCTTAAGCATATGCAGTTACTGATTCTTGCCTTCTCTTGGGTCAAATGTACAATTTCAGAGGTGTTAGTATGAAACATCTGGTGGAAATTCAGGCTGTGATGTTGGCAAGCTCACTTTTTTAGTTGTTGTTTTTTCTTGCTCCTCTAACAAGGTCAAATTGTGCCCCCCACTACATGCTTCATTTTTTGACTTGCCCAGGGAGTCAAAGAAAAAAGGGAGATCAAGTCATCTTGGTTCCTACTAATTTCAGTCAGTTTATATAATATCATAAGCAGAGGAGTTTCCAATAAATTGTTTCTTTTTGTGTGTTTCATCCTGTTAGTCATCGGTTTATTCAACTTATTGGGGCATGATTTAATCACTTCCATCACTTCCTTTGTCTGGTGAGAGTATCCTGCTGAGAGACTAGAGCCTGAACCACTGTGTGAGTATTTGGGCTTATCCCCAGGACTGCCTACCTGCAATCCCTTTTTCTTAAGCCTCCCTGGGAAAATTTTTTAAAAATAATAAAAAGCTGGCTACTTGGAAGGCTGAGGCGGAAGGATCGCCGAAACCCAGCAGTTCGAGGCTGCGGTGGCCGGGAGCGGCCACTGCACTCCAGTCTGGGCGACAGAGTGAGACTCTAACTAAAATAAATAAATAAATAAATAAATAAATAAATAAATAAATAAAAATAATAAAAAGAATTATGCATGGGGGGCAAGATTGACTTTCTTGAATTCTGAGTTGGAGGAGCAAGAATTAAAAAAGCAGGAGGTTTTTGCTTGGCACAAAACACAGATAAATCAGAAAGAACATTGGTTTTAATCTCTTGAGCAATATCATTTGAATTGCTGGTTGGTGAGCAAATGGGGAGTCTCATGGTAGGTGCATCCTCATGGGAAATGGGCAGTTTTTTTTTTTGTTTTCTGAGTCGGAGTCTCACTCTGTCGCCCAGACTGGAGTGCAGTGGCCGCTCCCGGCCACCACAGCCTCGACCTGCTGGGCTCCAGCGATCCTTCCACCTCAGCCTTCCAAGTAGCCGGAATTACAGGCATGCGCTACACGCCTGGCTGATTTTTTGATTTATTGTAGAGATGAGGTCTCCCTGCCCAGGCGGGTCTCGAACCTGCGGGCTCAAGCAATCCACTCACCTCAGCTTCCCAAAGGCCTCCCAAAGACCTCCCAAAGGCCTCCCAAAGGCGCGGGATTACAGAATGAGCCACCGAGCCTGGCTGAAATGGACAATATTAATGTTCTTCGAACCCTACTAATACCTGCCAGTTATCACTGCTAAGACAAACATAACCCTGACATAGCTTGTAGGACGTTACACATGTATCCAAAATTTCCTTCATCCATATTCAGATATTCCCATTGGGTACTTTGCATTCATAAGTAAAAGGAAGTTCTAGAGCTCTTGGCAGTTTTTATAATCTCATGGAATTTTAACTTCCTCTGATCTTTATATTACTTTGAATTGTCTCATAAAGGTTCCAGTGAAGTGCTGTCTTCACAAACGTAGACCCATGAATTGGCTTTTTATTTTTCATTGAGATAGGTGGATAGTCACCTTCATTTTCTTCTTCTGTTTGTTAGCCTGGATACCATCCTTGAACAGTTAATTGGACTAAGTCAGGGGAGGAAATGCTTCCTGAAAAATCTAAGTTTTTCTGCTTTTAATTTAAGTCCCTTAGAGCAGGCATCTATACATTCTCTCTTGCTCTATCTCACTCTCTCTACTTTCTTCATTTTCTTCCCCCTCTTCACTCCTTGTGTGTGTAATCTGTGTGTACGTGTGATGCAAGCATGATATACATGTATGTATAGATAGATTCATAAATATGTTTCATGATGGCTCTCCTTTTTCATTTATTTCTCTGTCACAACATATTTATATTACCTTGCATTGATTCTTCCTAACATTCTTGATCTATATTTTCCAGTTATCTCAGACAATTGATCAGTTTTATAATAGATATCTGCATCTTATGCTTTCAGAAGATCTTAAATAATAAAACAATAAAATTTTGAGGTCATAATTTCAGAATCTAAGCAGCTTTTCACAAGGGGTTGAAGTGTAACATAGAATGAAATAAACACCAAAAAACTATGAGAATGCCTGTAGCAAACAATGCTGACTTTTCACCTGAGGTAGATATTCAACAGGCTACCCATTATTAATAAGAACATGCTAAATTAGAAAATATTTAATTTTATTATAGCCCACACTGTCCAATCACATTTATATTTCTATTTCTCACAGAAGAACCCATATACCCACTTACACACTAAATTCCTGCCTGGTCTTTACTTCTTTACCAGAATACCAAATATTAACTTTACAGCACCTTGATTGCTTCCTGTGATGCTCTCAAAATAGAGGAAAATAAAGATATCAAAGGCAAATATAATTTAAAATTTCACATGCTTAGAGGAAAAAGTTATGCATAGTATAGTCTGCAGTTTTAGGGCATTGAGATTGATTAGTAACCTCACATACACTTTAAAGCAGTGCTTGAATCATTTGACAAATAACAGTACAAAGAGACACTGACTCCAGGGTGCTTTGTATAAATTAGGTAGCTAGACTGACAAGACTTCAAAGTTACATGTGACAAGAGACGTATGTGAAGTTTATTCTAGAATTTTAAATCTGTGGCACAGACATTTTCTATTTAAGCAATATTCATAGAAATCAAAATGAAAATGGATTCCTTCTGGGTGTATGCTTTATGAACAGTGGCATTTTATAAACGGACCTTTGTTTCAGGATGACAGAAGTAGATGAATTTATTTAGACATTGGGTGACTCTATACATCCAATAGAAAATCAGTTATAACTAAAATCATTCACAGATCTAGTGTAGCTCTGCAAGTTTATATTTACCCTATCTATAAACACACAGACATTTACCTGATACATTTCAAATACTACTAGAGTTGAAGAGGAGGATAGAAGTAAAATGGTAGACACCTACCTGAAAAAACCACCTGTCAGTATCCTATCACCATAATGAAAAATCATTATGCTTAAAATTTGTAATTTTTTACTCTTGACATTACTTGACTTCCTCAGTAACAGTCTGCTTAAATCTTAATTTAAATATATTTATTTGTTCTTAACATGCCCTGTCTGTATCAATGAATATATAAGCTGAGTATACTTTAGCTCACCTATACACACTTGAAAACTTTATTTTCATTTTTTATTCTCTACTATTAGCCAAAGATATTACCACAATTATCTTTTGAGACCTAGTCAACAAATAGAAGGAGTAAACCTTGACACACAGAAGATTCTTAAATCTAGGACTTTCAGGCAGAATCAATCAACTTCAATCTGAAGTTTCATTTGTATTCCATGGAGTATATTAACTTTAGAAAGCTAAGTGCATGAATAAGTCACCCAGCTTTATAAAGTGAAAAACTTCATCTCCATGGAATACAGTCATGTTAAATTAAAAGCTATTAGTTGGACTTAGGTCTATTTTGCCTAAGACAGAAAAGAGAGAAAAAACTAAATGTATAAATAAAGAATAAATCTTTTTTTCCCCCCAGACA